ATGCTGAGCTGAGGCGGCGTCGATGTCGGTGCTATGCTGAGCTGAGGCGGCGTCGATGTCGGTGCTATGCTGAGCTGAGACAGCGTCGATGTCGGTGTTATGCTGAGCTGAGACGGCGTCGATGTCGGCGTTATGCTGAGCTGAGACGGTGTCGATGTCGGTGTTATGCTAAGCTGAGACGGCGTCGATTTCGATGCTCGGCCGACCACGGCAGAGCTCGGCACGACCCCAGTTTCCGTCATGGCGCAGTGCCCGCCGGTGGGCCGGCCGCCTCGGTACCCGACGCTGGAGCGCGGGCCAAAGCCGGGAGCACTATGACCCGCAATCAGTGTACACTGAACCTGCGATACAGGGGTGGCGCGTGTGACCGATAGCACTGGCTGCCGTCTTGGTGAAGTGTTTAGACACTCGCCGGCGGTTGTATTATCATGCGGCTGCACGGTGCGGAGGCACGTGTACAATGAACTGAACGGTAATACTTGGGTAATACGCAGCAATGAGCGGTAATACTGGGGCAGGACAATGACGTGACCAGGACGATCCTGCGTGGCCTCCCTGCTATGGCTTCCGGTGCCAAAAGCTGTCATCACGGTGCTCTTACTCCCAGGCTCTTCCTTCCCGGTCTACGTCAGGTGCAGTCCGCAGCGGCAATGCCCATGTCTACCTCAACATTCATTTCATATCTTTCCGCGATCAAGTGCGATGCATTTGGGTCGAGCACTTACAATCACATCACAGAAACAGTTCTAATAAGTTGACCACTCGTCAAACAGTTCTGCAATACCTTGAGTCATCGGCAATATTCGTTCGGTGCGTTCTACGTAATAACATCTTTATGCTACTTGGGGAGATCCCCCTATCAACAGTCCGGCGACGCTGCTGGCTGTGCCTGCCTGATTCACCGCACCAAGCTGTCTTGAGTAGCCTCTTCAGCCTCTCCACATATCTTCACTGATGTCACCATCTACTACGACTAAACTTACTCGTGAGGGACACCCGCATCACTGCTCGGGTCACTGCCATGCTCACAACTCGACCGCGTGCTCACATCAGTCACTGGGGGAAAGGCTTAGACGAGACATTGCCGGTAACTTTGTCGCTTTCAGTTAGCCGAAAGTAAGTTCATTGCCATTGGCGCGAGTGTACTAGACTTCTGCTAAAACCTTTCTTGGATTCGTTTAACGCCTTGACTAGTTTACAACTAAGCATAATACAACAAACTATAACTATAAAGGGAAAACGAAACTAACGCCATGTGCAAGCAAAATGCCAGAAAGATACGAGGACGTGGGTTACCGAGTGGAACGCGAGACCCTCTACCTCATCACAGCTATCACCCTGTTCTGTACGCCGTCGGACAGATTATCTCCCGCTGACTGATGCGGTATGGCGTCGGCTGCTCTGGCCAATAGCTGGCGGGCATGTCGGTCCGGAACCAGAACAAACGCGCTACGTGGTTCCTTTTGCGCGTCTATTGACTACAACCGGGGTGGAGGCAATGCCACGACATTGCATGGCACGTGAAGCCATTCCGGGAAAGCTGCCCATTGAACAGGGATTACTCTAGTGGACAACGACGACGTCAGAGCCTCAGCGGCAGGGGCCGTTCGGGAAGACGCCAGTCCTCGGCAGAACATCGGCAGGAACGCCAGACAATACTGCCGACTGCGTCCCTCCCTTTGAGTGCGTCGGCGCCGCGGGTGTCGCCCGGTGCCGGCGACGGCGTGGTCGGGCCGGGCCCGGCGCGGCGCGCTCAATATGGCGCGGGGCACACGCGGCACATGTTGGTGCATTGATCGCCGGCCGAGTGGAGCCGCGACCGCACCGCGGACGGACAGGTCAGCCGCGCGGGAGGCGCCGGACGAGCGCGGCGCGTGCGGGCGCGGGGCGTGGCGCACGGGGCGTGGCAGGCGGGACTGCGGGCCGGGCGGGCGGCGCGGCGGCACGGAAGTGGCGGAAGGACGACGGAGGTGCCAGTCGCGAGCGCATCGCGCTTGCCGCGCGGCGGTCAGAGCCGGGTGGGACGCCGCGGCGCGCGGTCGAGGTTACATGCAATGTGAAGGCTGCGGGCCACCGTCGATGCCAGTCGATGTTCAGTCAGTCGTGGGCGGCGCGTCGCCAGCGGAGGCCGACGGCGACCCGGCGAAGGCGGCGTGACTCGAGAGGTGCGGCCTCGGCGCTCGCTCCGTACGGGTCCTGGGGAGGGGGGGGGGGGAGGGGGCAGCAGGAGAAGCAGCAAGCGGCGCCGCCGGTCACGATCCGCCGGCTCATCAATATGCAGTTGCCACCCGGCTGGCGCCAGGTGGACAGCCGGGGGGGGGGGGGGGGAGCGGGTCCGCTAACCGCTGACCTTGCCTCCTCGCCGCGGGAACGTCAAGGGGCAGCGCTGCGACGCGCGGACGCGGACGCGACGTGGTCAGCTGTGCCACCTCCTGGCGTCTAGGAGGCCCGGTCCGGGGCGGATCCCGTCGGTCACGGCCGCGCGAGCGATTGGCGCAGACGAGACGTTGGCGATTGCGGACATCGCTCAGCTGTAGATACAGTGATTAATATCTACTAGCTTTGAGCTGATAGAGTAATCTAATAGGTTAGACAATTTGTCTAAGAAGTTAGTAGAGTGGTTTTCTCTTAAGATAAAGAGTGGTCGTTGGTTAATAAGTTCATAAGTTAGAAAGTTAGTAGTTGGTTAATAAGTTAGAAAAGTCGTGTTCTAAGTTAGTAGAGTGGTTCTCACCCGCTATAGTTTCTTACTTCGCTTCCACGCTGCACGGCGAGGTGACAGCTGGCCTGGCGGCATTTCTAGAACAACTGATCGGGAAGTGAATTGATCAGCTGATCAAAAAGCAGCTTCGCCTGACGAGAGGTCGATGCTGTTTCGGGGCTGCTGAACACCTTGAACCTTTATTGCAGTCACTGTAAACATGCCGTGGGCTTCCATTTTAGTCGCCGTTACCGACGTAGTTTCGTTTCACTTTTTTACTTTGGACTAAGGAGCCACTGCGGACCCATCTGGTCTCGACGATCGGCACACGCCCTGCGGCGTGACGGTCCAAGCCTCGTCAACATCCTCTGCGGCCGTGGCGAACGTGGGACAATCAACGGAAGCGCCACGCCCATTCACTCCCTCGGGGAAATTGTCCAGAAGCCGGCGAAGCCAACTGCCGCTGGCGCTGCTCCAAAGCGGACCCTGACATTGGAGCGTGGCCAGGCCAGCCTCTCAATGCTGCTCGCAGTGCTGGCCGATCGCGTTCGACCGCTACCAAAGGCGACTGCGGCATCGACCGCTCAGCAGGGATGGTGGGGCTTCATTAGTTCGGGCTCGCCGGCCGAGACCGAGTCACAGACACAGTCCGGACAGCAGCGACGGTGGGCGGCTGTCAGAACACCGGGCAGAGAGGGAGATTGTCCGGGCAACGGACAGCGGGAGACTGTCCAGACAACGGATAGAGAAGGAGACCGTCAGACCAACGGATGGAGAGGGACGGCAGAACGGCAGTTAGAACCGAGACGCAGTTGAAGCAAATTAATCGATGTAAAATATGGTGCAGAACAACACAAAGTGTCACCATCTCAAAGGCAGACAAGAATTGCTCATTTTGATGATAACTTTTATTCTACGCATTTGGAAGCGTCCATGTCGCACTTTGCACGGCGTGGTCGGAGATTGCGCTGAGGATTTACCGCGCCTGCATGGGCGGCAGTTTGAATTATTCAAACTTTAGGCGGTCAGGGACGCCGCGTGCCCTGAATAGCCGGAGCCAAGCACTCCCAGTTGATGTGCATGGTAGGCTTCAGCTCGCGCACAGACGTATTCAGTTCGCTGGACAAGACAAGTGTTGCCATATTCCATATGAGCCCAGACCCAATGCCCAAGTAACCGACCCAGCTGCCTCTAAAAAAGGCGCCACCGGGAGAAAAAAGACGTGAGCAGCAGACAAAAAACAACGTGACGTCGCGTCTTCTTTTTATAAGATCAGAAAGTGTGTCGCTCCTTTTTGTCCTTGTCAACGTCTTTACAGATATTAATGATGTTTATTTCATAACAATGGCCTCAGGGTTCATGCCTGAGTTTCGTTGGTGGAGTCCTCAACATGTGCAATATTGACCTATACCTTTTCTGTCACAGCTATCTTATCGTTCCACAGTATTCTGTCACGGCAACGGTAGATACTGAGCAAATCTGTACGCATCCGCGCTCCAACACGTTTTTTCCGGTCACACTGCTGATGACGGCGAAGGTGATAGTTCCGGTCACAGCTGTGATCAAGTTCCAAGTTTTTATGTGGGCCTTAACCCCATTTCGTAGCGTCTGTCTTACCCGGAGCGAGGTGATGTTAAAATTACATTAATTCAAAATACGAAGAGCTGAAGTCCGGCAAAGCACTGGAGATGTGCCTTTAAAAAGTTGTCCTTTCGCCTCCCCAGTGGACTTCTGAAACTTCACTCCCGAACGATGACGTGGCCTACGTGTGGTGTGACGTTGCGATGACGCCACAGATCTGCGACCGATGATAACCAGCTCTGACTCTGTCCTGAACCTGAGGCTGGCAGCGCGCGTGACTGACTTCCGGCCTCCGTCCGGGCGTTTCCGGCTGCTTCCTGCCGTCGCCAGTTGGCGCCTGACGCTGCGATAGTCGTTGCCGCCGGCGGCGCTGCCAATAGATCCTCGGTGTGCCGGCGGGACCACCTGGGACCCGAGGTCCAGAGGTCCGACCGACCACCTGTCGTGCCATGACGCTATCGCTGCGCCGACTATCGAGGACCGGCGGGCGGCGTTATCAGCGCGGGCGACGCGTTTCCACGCGGCTGCGGCGGCGGCGGTGTCAGTTCTGGCCCGCCGCGCTGCCATGAGGCGCCTGAGTCGCTCCGTGGCCTACCTGCCGGCGGCGGCGCGGGGGGCGCCCGCCGCCGAGGCCACGGCGAGCGCGCAGGAGGACCGGCGCGCGCGCGGTGACCTCTCGGAGATGTCGCACAGTGTCGTCAGTCTGTACTTGGAGGATGAGCGCGATATCAAGCGGCGCAGGTGAGGCCGGCGGCACGATCTGTGCTTCGGCTCAGGGACCGCCCTGATGCTAGCGCCCCGCCCGGGGTTCGGTACTTCGATTGGAAAGCTTTACCGCGACTGAGGCTGTTTGTCTCTCGGTTGGGCCGTCGCACCTCCGACGGATCTACGTGCCCAGACTGGACTTTGTGCCCACAGACCGGATCCTTGCGCCCAAACTGGGCCTCTGTACTTCGACTGGGCATCCCCGGCCCGCTTTAGTTTCTTAGACTCCACGGAAACTGTGCACCTTGACTGGACCTCCACACCCCACCGGACATCCTTACCCCACGGGGCCCCTGTGGCCTTACCGGATTATTAGATCATCTCAGGTCGCTGCGCTCGATTAGAACCTCGAACCCAATCTGGTGCCCTGCACGGCGACTGGGCCTCCACACTCCGACAGGACTTCCGAACCGCGACTGAGTCCCTGTACACTGCGAACATCATTTGCTCTGTGCGAGCATCCGTAGCCTCCGGCTGTGCCTCTGCACTTTTCCTGAACCACCTTACCCAGATGAACTAATAGTTCAGCGGTGTCTACCTGGTTGGAGGTAGACGCAAATTAACTCCGCTGCCAAACGGTTCGGTTGGGGGTATGGGGTACAATGGGGGTACCTCAAGGATCAATTCTCGGCCCAATTCTGTTCTTAATGTAAATCAATGACTTGCCTAAATTAAGCAGTAACATGACATGCCTGTCTTACGCTGATGATACTGCGATTATTTTCAAAAATAAAAGTAGTGTGGAACTTCAAAACAATATCAAACCCTTTAGCTTCTAATGGCCTCCTGGTTCATTGCTAATTTTTTCCCTGAACATATCAAAAAAATTTACACAGCATTATACTGGCCTTTCTTCACAGTTCTAGCTAAATGTGCAAATTAATAATTCACTTATTGAAGGGAAAAAATAAATCAATTATCTTAGAGTACTCATTGACAAATCTCTTAAATTTACTGGCCACATTAATTTTGTTGCAAGCATAGTAAGGAGAAATAGTGGAATAATAAGTAGGGTTGGGTACTTCATTGACAAAATAACGTCACATCTGCTCTATAACACTTTAATTCTTCGTTATTCAAGTTACAGCTGCTTGATTTGGGCCATAAATTATGCTTCCTCACTAGATCGGTTAGTAAGTTTGCAAAAAAGGTCCATGCGTCTAATAGAAAATGTGTATCCTCAGAGCTCAAAGCCAATCTTAAAATGATACAAAATTTTGAAACTATCGGATATTGCTAAATCCCAAATGTAAATTGTGACGCACAAATCTGTAGCTTCACAGCTCCCTGCATCAGTCGATTTAAGATACAAGCTCTACGAATCAAATGGCATGCATATGAGGCGAGTAAAACATTTAGACCAACCTTTCTCAAATCATAATTGTAGACTATTTACAACATCTTGCCTTGGCCCTAAGCTGTGGAACGACATTATGACATCACATTTTCCGAGAATAGCTGATATCTATGCATCAAAAACCATTAATAAAAACATCATCCACAAGCATTTTGTGAATGCATATTAACGTAACCAACATATTTGAAGACATTGCAATCCTTTGCGCTGCACATGTGCAACGCACTTCATATTCAACCTCCTTCATGTTCCATAATCACGTTCTGATATAATTAAAGTCATGCACATGTACCCAAATTCACGGCGTTGGCTCCGGAAGTTCTTCCAGCGACAAGCCCCGCTTAACTGGGTGAACTCCCTTGACATTCAGCTCAAAACCCAGCACGAAAATGACCGGCTAACTGCCCCTCCGACTTGTGTGACCGTACAACCCTTACTAACACTGTCCTTCGGGTCCGTACCACCTCTTCGCCTGTTTCGTTACGTTTGTTTCCTCTTCCTAGCTGGGAGTGCCGCGACTTGATTTTATGTTTTCTGGTGTTAACGTATGGTTTATTGCGTCGCTGGGATTGGGGGAGGGCCGCTCCTGGTTGCCTGTTCTTGGGTAACGGCATAGAAAAAAGTTTGTGCATATGGTCGATTGTAATCCCATTTCTAGGAGTCAGCCTCTTATCATGTGATTGAATCAATAATGCGTGCGGTAGCGGCCACATCGTTTCTGTCGCGGCGAAAACCTTCTGCATACGTCCTGCGGCGTGAACGACATCGATGGATGTCCGCTGCTGTTGGGTCATGCCGGAAGATCATGACCGGCGTGCTGACTGAGGCCCACACTTGCTTCGCTCTGCACAAGCACGGCAGTGGCCATGTAACGATGACGTGCGGTTTTGCTCGATGCCGAAAGCACAACTGGTGCCGTAATAAAGCGTGCAAGCTTTTTATCATTTTATTATTTCTGAATGATTGCGGTTGCGGCAATAATTGCTGTTGGTTTGATGTCTGGAACGCAGTTGATGGCGTCATGAGCGGTAAAAGTCATTTCTTTCAGAAATACAAATTGCATGCCAGCGGAAAACAAAATACTGAGCGATTAGCCAGCTGACGCGGGTGCGGCGCCAACGTCATAGGAGTGCGTACAGGTTCGGTATATTGTTCCTTTAGTTTGTTTTAGCAGCGTAGGGTAAACGTTACAGGTGGCTTTCGTAGCAAACGCCGGACAGATTTCATTGGTGGCTTTAGGTGAGGCAGCGCTAATGAATCTGCTAACAAATTAGGTATTATGCATTTGTTGACGTGTTGCGCGTTGTGTAGAGCTGGCTCAGCGAATGTGAATGCAGATGGCCCTCAAACACGGCATTGCGGCTAAGCACACTATCGCGATAGCGTATCTACGACATATCCACTGAGGTCCGCATTATCTGGCGACGACAATGTCGTTCTTGACCGCCGTTAGCTCTTTGGAGTAGCCACGCTCGCCCCTCTTCAGAAAGCTGTGTGACGAGACCAAAGTGCGGAGCGGCGGTCGATGCTTGTTTGTTGTGTGACGGAAACGTGATCGCACTTTTGCATCAGTCATTCAAGATTACTTAATAATTTGTGGTTGGGAGTGATTAAAATTCAGGATCTCAGAAGGAAATAAGCACCATGAACTTTTAATCAAATTACCAGGTGGCTTTAGCCGTGACGTCAGTGAAATCTCTGTCAATTCAGCGGACGCAGCCCAAGCTGGGCCGTGGCTATCGTGGGCTCAGGCACGTGAAAACTTAGCCGCCGTTCGATCTATGAAATCGAAAACAGGCATCTTCTTATTGTTTAACCCAGACTTGCTCTTGAAATAGGCACTAAACCAACTAGAGACATTCATTTGTATAAACACCGTGCACGCGTCAAATCAGAGCATGTTCGGTTTTTCGCCTAGTTGTTGAGCGGCCGGATGAAATCGCGCCAGAATTTCACACGTGAACACTGAAACCGGGCACATCGTTGTCGCCATGCGGTCACCTTCTTGGCTATCTCCGTCCCATTGACTTTTTTCTAGAAGTGGCTGCTCTTCTACTACGCCGATAACGACTTGGCCCACTGAATTGGCTCCCAGACAAGTGAGGCGCAAGGACCACGGCCGGAGCCGCGGCGTGGTGACCTGATCCGAGTTTGGCAGGCTACGTCCGGACCGCTGTTGCCACCTCCGGCCGACCCCGCTCCCCCCCCCCCCCCCTGGTGCGTTCTCCGCTGCCAAAGGTCGGGGTGATATCCGCCGGCTGCATTAGGTCAAGGGGCATCGGTCACCGACGTGAGGGGGATGGCCGGCGCGCGCTCGTTAATCGCTGACGGGGCGAGTCGCCTGTCGCCGCCGGCCGGCTGGTCAGCAACTCCCGCCACCGCGCCAGGCCTGTAATCATCGCCAGGAAATCCCCGTCGCGCTGCCTGGCAGAATTCGTGTCGTATTCCTTCATAACGCATTTCTTGGTGCGCAGTATTTCGCCAGCAAGTCCTCGAGTCGCATGATGATGTAAGGTGTTTCTTCGAGCGCAGATCTTCTTAAGCACAGATATCATGAAGTGCAAATCTTCGTAACGCAGAATCAATGCGAGTATTTCTTTGCATCGCGTCTTTCCGTACATGCGCTCAGTCGCATACGCATATTTTCGCATTGTTCGATATGCATGCGCAATTTTTGCTATGAATTTTTTGTCGCGTACGCAAGTCTTCGTAGTGCATCACGCCGTATGCGCTATAAGTTTGCCCTATTTCGTTTTCGTCCATTCTCATTTTCTTTGCAATTATTCACATTTCCAGCTATTCGACGGCAGGGTCCAGTCACGCTTAAACGGGTATTGAACAAGTTAGCGCACAACTCGGTTATGCTTTTCAAATATACAAACATAAAATTACATAAGATAAAATAACATCCATAGCCCGATGGCAACGGGAACCTGTCTCCAGATTTGTCTAAATCGACAACGGCACGTTTCGCTCGTGCGACTTCCGGGGTACACACTCTAATGTTTGTGAGATACTGATCCAGGTGTCCAACCTTTTAGGGACTGGGCTGGCAAGCGGGCGGGGGTTAATCGCAGGAACTTGGCCTAGGCGGATGTCAAGGAGGTGGTACCTCCTCCCCGCCCTTTGAGCCGAACAGTAAACAACAAATTCTGGATGATTTCGAAGCAAGTTTGTCATAATGTGCAGAATTGGGGGAAAATTTGACTTATTTCTCTCCATGGAAAATTTGGCTACATCACTGGGATATGACTAAAGACCAGTGCAGGTAGGACAAGGTATGGATGACGGCAGTCAGGGAAGAGGTAGGACAGGGTATTAATGACGGCAGTCAGGGAAGAGGGCGTGCGACGCGTTCCGTCATCCTGAGTCTTAGGGAACAACATACTGGAAAGGAATGGGATGAATGAATAAATAACCAACACAAATGATGAACAAATAACAGATTATCAATTGCTTTTTGGACATCCATCATAAGCTGTTATCTTCGGCAGGAAGTATTGTGTTCAGCAACTTGCCCCACTCATGGAGGGGGACTCCAATCACCGTCATAAAAAGCGTCTGCTCCCAGGAGCTCTGTACCCTAACAGACGGGGATCTACCCGCGTTAGATACTTAC